CGCTTACGTTTTTGCTGTCGTTTTCATTCAATGTACAATACACTTTGTGTGTTCACATAAATGTTAAATACAGCACCAATGTGCAAATGTGGTTTCAGTTACACGTCCGCAAAAGGGGAACACTTTACGGTTGATCGGACTCACAACTAGCACGAACAGCCCGATTTTGGGGGGTCACAAAAGTGGACCCCGAAATTCGTTCTCGCACGAAATAACACAAAACGCCCAGTTTTTAAAGGATAGTTGTGTGGATATGTATTACTTTTGAATGTTGAAAACGCGTTTTATAGCTCAAGTGGGCGCTTTTCAGGACGCAGTTCCCTTTAAGCTAAACTACATTCCGAAATCCATGCAATATAAAAGTGAGCATTCATCATTGCTTTTACCAGGACACCAAATCTCATGAGGATGTCGGACTAATAGTCCGCAACGGAACACGTTCGCGCCAGAGCAACCGATACCCCGTATGCAGTGAAGCCCATTAGAAGTGTGCGCATCATAAAGGATGGTTTCCTCATCATGACAGCCAAGGAATGTAATATCTACTCAGACTGCTCGTCACGTGTGGATAGGTTAATGTCTGACCCAATTGAACTCACCTCCACACACGTGCGAGTTTAATAACATACCATTCCACCCTGCCTACGGTTGTTGCCATCTATTAACAGATGCACTCAACTGATACGCATATTTAAAAAAAGTGGCTGTTATCCGAGACTAATGTATATGACGGGGGCCTGTGCGCGCATCATTGATTGCAAGATATACAGGGGATGCATGGTTGTAAATTGATAGGTTAGTCTCCATGCAGCCGTGGTATCGCCCTAGCAACCAATGCCTCTTGAGGACGAGCCGGTGAGAATTCTTAACACGAGCGGCACAGAAGATAAACACGTCCTCGACACGGGTTTATTTTGTTAGTGTCTCAAATTGTGTGACTGACGGGTCCACCGGAATAGTTCTGCTGACTCCCTATGAAGGCAGGAAATAATGGCCTGCAGCTTAAATATGAAGATCAAAGGCTTTTTGCAATTCGTTCGGGTTGAAAATAATCATTCATGAGAAATTAACTATCAACAATGACGTCAAACGTTGAGGATCGGAGAAGGCAAATTGTGGCACAAGAGACTTATACAGACAATCGCACATCGGCGTCTCGTAAGATTGGCTGGCGTCCCCACCTGGCTCATATAGGAAAGCGCACATGTAAACAAAGCGTGACATCATTATGTCTTAGGTCCATTTGCCTATAGATTTGTGCAAATCGTGGTCGCACTCTCAAGCGGTGAACGTGTCTCATTCATTACCCGAGTGCAACTGGTTGACATCATTGTTGGTGCATATGCTATCTCCTTGCTGATACCAGTAAGCTTTTTGCCTGGAATTGAATATGGCACTCGCTGGTTCTCATTTACAGATCGAAAAAATATATATGTAAAACCAGTCAACGACGTTGTTTTTGAAATTGTATGCTGGGCCCTCTATGGACCTTGCAAACAAAATGGAATAAATTACCGCATTAGGTAGGAATTAATGTCAGTATTGTTCGCATTTTCATAATTATTTTTTTTGAAAGAATTCCACCTGCTTCTACTCATCCTCAAACCACAAGGTAAACTAAGCAAATAAACTGTGTTTGAAAAGCATAAACCAAAATAGAAGATCGTTTCCTTTTATAAAAAGAAGAGGTTAGCCGGAGTAGGCTGCAGCTCGTCTGAGTTCGCAAGATGCGCCGTCCACTATTGGGTGATAGACGGCGCGTGCTCCCGCGTGATTTACGCTGTTTGATCAGGCAACTTGTCATTAAACATGAGCTGTGTACCTACCGAGACATGTTTGATCGCAGCTTCTTCGATTGACCAATATTGGTTGTGTGTGCAAGGCATGGGAAAAAGGTGGCTTGTATTTGGCTCTTTGGGGCATCCTTAATAGCATCCACTCTTCCTTAAATGGGGTTAAGTGGAGCTTTAATACCCTTTCCTGATGGAATTAAAAGAGCGAGGAATCTTATTGGCGTCTTGCCAGTGATTGTCTGGAAGTTCTTGCTCGTCCGTACGCTTGTCTCTTTTAGTCACTATGGAATTGGCTCATCAAATTCAAGCAAAGTCTATATACCTTAGGAACTACCAGAGACATCCAAGTGGGCGATAAGGGCCTCATTGTATTTGAATACATAGCTGCTGAAAGCATACTTGTTAAGTCGCTGAACATGCATAACGAGGGAGCAATTCTTTTTAACAGACTGCAATTGTTGTTAGCATCATGATGTTCAATTCAACCAAAAGATTTATGGAAGGGTTGAAAATTCGAAACTGACCTTTAGGAAATATCTGTCTTTACACAACTTGACTTCTGAGTTGATGAAGACGCACACTTGCTCAGTGTCGGCACTCCCCACTCCACCCCTCCCAAAAACCCTGTATGATTACATAAAATATGAAATTATCGCCAAATTTAACATTTGGTGACTCTAGCCAGTTTGAGCACGGTAGTATAGATTATGATTTCCGTCAGAATGAAAAGAAATATCATCGCGGTCTTGACCAATATAAAGTCTACTAGCGTTAAGCTGTACGCCTTGAAGTGTTCACTTATCACTGTCGGGTCCGTGATACAAGTTTTGCATTCTCGCACGTGCAACTACGATGGAGTCGGTCTGTCATGTGATGCACGATGCTGGAAGACACTCCTAGCTTGTCGATTGAGAGAGAACTAAATACCCTGGCAACACAAGGACTCGATTCTCATCTTGCTCTGATATTGGATATCCGTAATAAACTGCGGTATCAAAAAGTGTTGATATCAGGTTTTTCAAAAGAAGTATCATACTGTTGGTATTGATAATGAGGCATCTGAAATTGTTAGAGTGTTACCTGTATAATTACATGCATGTGTTATTTTAGGCAAGGATAAGAAATAGATTTCGTCGCGAGAGAGCACTTGACGCTTGGGTCTACTGTGTGTACGATGTAGGCTAACATTTCGTGGTCTTTTCAGTTTTATTTTGTTTCTTGTCTGAAACAAATGTGAAGTTGCTAAAGTTGAAAACGTCATTCTAATCTTTGATTCTTAGCGACTTTCATTTGTCCGTATTAGTCCTACGTTGATCTCTTGTCTCATTTTTCTAAAATTTATTTATTTATCTATAATTTATTTATTTATATATTTGTATTAGTATTTTGTCACGATCAGAATGGTGTGCAGTGTCTTAGTTGTGATATGCTTGACACAATGGTTTGCCAATTCGGTGATTCAAATACAGGAACTTGCCTTCTTTTAGGAACACGCTTGGTGGCGCCCTAGAGGGTGGACACCTTCCAAAGGCCTCTTAATCACATGTTATCCAGCTCGCGTCCTGACAGCTCATTCAAGTCGTAAATTTGTCTGCTGTTATGCCCCTTAGCCGTCTGGGCCATTTCTCTTCCTTTGATCCCTGAAGTGAGGCCTTTGTATTGGATCTGTGTCCCCCGACTCCCCAGACGAGGCAACATCTTCGACCGAGAATCCGGAGTATGATCGCCGTGCCGCGCGCCAAATGCACCGCCGAAGGAAATACCAAGGATATCACAACAGAGCGAAATAGGACAAAGTAGACACGAGTGTCGTGGGACCTTGCATCAACAGCTTTCCCGCCGTGTAACAGGCCAGGAATGCCGGGAGATATGTTACTCCCCGCCGGTGTGTATACACCGGGTTATTGCGCACATTTGGCGCTGATGGGACAGTTAAGATCCTGTAACGGTTCGCGGAATCTGCTTGGAAATATCTGACAGCAGAAAAAAAAGAAAGAAAATTAACTACAGATTGAAGCTGTGCTGAGATTACATTTAATGTTTCCTAGTATCTGGTTGTTATCGAACTTTTAACTTCCAGTTGAGCACACAACATTATGCACATGCGTGTTCGTATTGGCGCAAATTCATCATACCGTTCGCATTCCTGAAGTAAGAGGCTTTGTCAAAATGTCTTTTATTGCTCTCGAAATCGGATGAAAGATTCAGTTCAGACCAGTCTGAATGTACGGGCGATATGTTGAGGTCTATGTATTATAGAAAACGGTCGAGCAGAGTCTCTTAGGACGAAATTGGGGTCATTTTCTTGTGTAATCTGGGTCACGAGAGAGAGACTGAGCTCAGACCATGGCTTGTTTGTAAGATGTCTTTGCGAGGAAATGCCTTCTTTCCACACATCACAATTACAATTTAATTATAGTCATGTTTCGTCCTGTTGTTCTTTGATGGAACTTCCATGTCCTCCCTAGGGTTCGAAGAACTGGGACAAGCTCATATCGACTGCGAAAGCTGCAGGCTCTCACGAATACTAATATCCTGACAGTTTTGCTCTTGTGATTGACACGTTATGAAGTCCAATATAAACGCAGTCACAAACTTGCCTCGTCTGAGATTCAAAAGCAAGCAACTATGAGATGCGCGCAAGGTATTTTTATAGAAAGGGCCATTTTCTCTGCCAGAGAAAAGATTCATTTCTGACGTGCGTCATTGGTGCGAAACGTTAGACGGAAAATCGGAATTGGCTTCTGTACATTGCGATATTAAAAATCGCAGAGGGAAACATCCTCGCCCGCCTTTTTGTTTATATCAAAACGAAACCTGACACGAAGAGACAGACGTCGCGCCCTTTTCTTCAATTTCCTCCTTTTACCGATATCTCCTGCTGATCAGGACCGAGGAGAATCACCACCGACAAGATTTAACACGCAAACACTAGATCGTTAACCCCTTGTGGCGTTCCAAAAAGAACACTCCATGTAAAAAATAACATAATGAGTCGATGTTAAAGCAATAATGGCTATCAAACTGGGTATCTGGAGCGCACCGAGCAGAAAAATCATGTTGTTAATCACATTACTCATGTGCCGTCCCTCTGCTGAAACCATGTTACAACTAGGGCTATGCAAGAGGTGTTTTAATACGTAATCGGCGTGCCTAATAATACTTCTGAAACAAGTGACATTGTGTGATAATTGTAAATTGTTCAAGATGGGTAGGCATAAGTGAGTTAAAATGCCGTTGTCGCGCGTGGTAGTGTTAAAGTACGCCAATTCCAAGCGTATCCTTACTATCTGTGTGCCCAAAAAGTGAAACATTGACAAATTGTTTTTTTTTGAAAGCCCAAAACACTTTGATGGAAACCTGGTGTAATGCCATAGGCTGAAGAGTTGTACCGGCCGTTATCACGCGTCCAACCAAGAGTTGTTCATCCTTGTGTGTAGGATCCGTGATCTGTTCGCACTTCTTTAGTAAGTGACGTCACCAGCTTCAATGCCTATTCAATGCTGAACCCAAATTCAGCATGTCCACGTAAGAGTGGCCCAAGTAAAAGTTACACCCTTTCACTTAATTGATTGTATTTCTGTATCTAGCTACCCAAATGGAATGGGGTAAAAAGGAGTGGATTGAGAAACAGTCGAGCTTTAATGTAATATGTAATTATTGAAGAATAAAAACGTTCCTATAATACAGTTTTAATTATTTGTTTTCTGAATGTTGCACTTTATCGGCACATTCGGTGGTAGTTGCTTCTCACTTCTTTTGACACCGTGTCAGTTCGCAAATCCACACCCAGCAAATCGAACAACCTCTCGACTAAAAGGAAAAGCTGCTTACGTTGAAAGCTTTGTTTTTCGTCGAGATTTACCAATGAGGTCTTGTCGCTCCACCGCATGACCAAGATTCCGAGGAGGGGGGTCCTTGGGAGGTGGCATCCCGGGTAATTTGCACACGCGCGCGCGCGCGCTCGCTGATTACTTGTTGATTGGTCGGGCCGAGGGGAGTAGACGATTGTAGGGTTGTTTGCTGAAAGCTCGCGTAAATTGCTCGTTGGCGCCACTGGGTAAATTGCGGGGTACTGGCACGTGTGCACGGTGTTGAATGTGAAATCAGGAACTAGAAAGCTTGGTCGGGTCGTTTCGTAATCGTGTTAGAGTCAGCAAATCAGGAGTTTATATTTCCTTGTAGATCTTTCCCCAGGTGATTGATATGAATAATTTATAAAGAGATCAATTTACATTCTGAGGCTTAAATGCCTTTATTTGTCCGGATGACACTTCTTGATTTGTTTGTTTATCAATTCCAAAACTTCCTCTTAATTGCATCGATCAGTAAAATGTTCCATTTGCTGAAGGCCCTGCTTAAATTCCTAAGCATGCGCCGGCGCTAGAAATAAGTCCGATTGTCGCATTTTACAACGACAGAAACGTGAGGTCACGGATAAGGGTATGCGCCCTTTTCAGCAAGGAGTTATTTAAGCAGACGATGACATTTGCAGCAGGAAATATTTTGGAAGGATTTTATTAGTGTGTTATTTGTCTTCGTCTTGGTGTCTTCGTATCGTTTTTGGTTAATCATGACGGCGACGCTCGAATGAAAAACCAAAACATCACGTCTGCTTCTAATTCAAGAAGCTCTTTATGGCCAGCTAAAGAGACGGGAATTCGACTCTTTCCTCTGTCAAGAAAGAAAGAAAACTCTTTTGATCGGAACAGAATGACAAAACGTAGATTTACGGCCCCTGGTGAATGGAAAAAATAAACACAGCCCACCCTGTCGTGTGTTTGTTTTGGAAATACTTTTCAGTAATTATTTATGGCTTTGGGTGGAAGTTCTTCAGTAGACATCGCACACTGCATGTATATTTGGATAAGATTCCGCCTCAGAAATCTGGCGAGATGGTCCGAAGCCCCACACTATATTCAAACAACAAATTTCCGAGGAATTTCTATGGGAAGAATTTTCTTCAGTGACTTTTTCTTGGGGTTGACATTTACTAGCTGACAAACATGCTAAGATTTAGTGCGTCGTTTCCTTTTCGATGTGTCGGATATGCGACTTCCCTGCGTACTTCCTAAACGTATTGACGGTTTGTTCATTTCAACTATTTTGAAGACTTACCGCAAAATCACACTAAAAATAAATGTCTTTCACAAGGGCTGGTTTGTATGTATGGCCAAATATGGTTACAATATATGGGCAGAGGAATTTTTTTAGATTTAATGTGTTTAATAAAGTTCGCATCTTCTTGTTTTCTGCAGAAGAACTGGAATGCCCTGTCTACTTCGATGGGACGATGTGCTGGCCTGCTACTGCAGTCAACATCACAGCCTACCTGCGATGCCCCAATATATTCCCACAATTCGACACATCAAGTAAGTTGTTTTTTTGGAGGTAAATGGGTGCATTGGGTTTTTTTATTGATGAAGTTGCGAGATGAGGATAAGAGGACAATGTAAATGTGGGATACATAAAGGAAGAAAGGAAGGGAAAAAGGGAGTGCACAATTTACACAGAGTGTGCAAAAAAGTGCAACATTCAGAAAACAAATAATTAAAACTGTTTAACGTTCCCCCCCCCCCCAATGACATTATATATTACATTAAAGCCTTACTATTTCTCAATGCACTCCTTTTTACCCCATTCCATTTGGGTCCCAAGATCCAGAAATACAATCAATTAAGTGAAAATGTGTAAATTTTACTTTGGCCACTCTCACCTGGACATGTTGAATCTGGGTTAAGCAATGAAGAGGTAATGAAAAGGCATTTTTGTGACGTTACAGGTGAGAGTGGCCCAAGTAAAATGTACACCCTTTCACTTAATTGATTGTATTTCTGGATCTAGGGACCCAAATGGAATGGGGTAAAAAGGAGTGGATTGAGAAATAGTCAGGCTTTAATAAAATGTATAATTTCATTGAAGAAAAAACACATAAAACAGTTTTAAATATTTGTTTTCTGAATGTTGCACTTTTTTGGCAAACTCTGTAAAATGGGAAATATCAGAACGGATTAAATCCTTCATCGGGAAGCGGGTAAAAGTTGACATTGATCCGAGCCATGTGCACTGCATTACATTGTTCACAGGAGTGCAAGTTGAATTAAAAATAATAATGGATGGAATGTGTGCTGAGATATGATATTTTTTTTCAAACAACATTCTCCACAAATTGTTAATAATTGTCCCCGCCGTCTGCTACACCACTGATCAAACATTAGAGTCTTGGATTACAACGCATTACTGAACCTCCCAGAAAAGCCAACGGTTCGTTCCCCGCAAGACGCTTACTCTGGCGAGGAGGACATTTTGCACGGGCTCGTGCGAACTTTGTCCGTCCTGCACTTAGCGGTGTTTGAACAAGCGAACTCGTGGGTGAAATGGTGAAAAAGATAAGTGAAAACGATCTTTAAAAATGATCTGATCTTGGACAATTGATTGGTTGAGAGGATATATATAGGATGGATATTTTTAGGACCTCGCCAACGAGGAACGTGTCAGTTTTTGGATGCCTTGGTGTCGACTTGGACGGCTGTCAGTATAGCTGGTTTGAACTTTGCTCGTTGCTGGCTGAAGTATATTTGTTCAAGGTGTCTCCAGGAAGACAAATGGAGCCATTTCTTCCCCTAACAGCCGGTCAGGATTAAACTCAATGAGTCCCTCCCTTCAGAAATATACCGGCCGTCATGTAACATCATCGCTACGTTATCTTTCGTATGATCTTAACCTAAGAACAAAATAAAATTTCAAAATTTTAATGTAGTGCACAATCATTGTATGGACATTGAAATATTCACACTGTGGTTTGCGTTTTACAGTGAGTTTTTTCTCTTTTTTTTTAAACGAAGAAGACAAACTTCGCATTTTGTGTCACCTTTCCTTGGAAAAACAATACTTGGGATCGAATTTTAAAAGCATATATGCTGACAAAATACAGGGGCGGATTATTCACCGGCTTAAGCACAAAAGGTTGTTTGCGAAAGACTCGTTTCGTTGCAGTGGCTCCTTTGCAACCTAAAGTTTACATTAAAAAGCTTCATTTGTTTACTTTGGATGAGGATACCACGTCAATAGAGGGCGGGCATGAGTAAACATAGAAAGGTGAAATACTTAAGTGTCGCCTTGTCAGAAATGCCATTCTTTGTTTTTCTTTGTGAAGTGTTTGTGATGAGTAATCTCTTGTCTTCCCTCAGAATTTGTCGAAATGTACTGCACCATGGATGGTATCTGGGGACCGGTGAACTATGACCCCTGCCTCCAGAAAATTGTTGATCAACCTCCTAAAACCAATGCAACGGATGAACAGATTCAAGTAAGTGTATTGTGTGGTCTTTTGAAGTGATAAATGTTTAAATACAACATTTAACTACAATTTACGTAATGATGGTCAACATGCCAAAGTTCTCATCCACTGCTCAGCAGAATTGGTAGTACAAAGGAACTACCTTTCTTGTCCATTGAAGCAGGAATCACGTGAAACAATGAAAGACATAGAAATTTGTACCAAGCTTTTGTTTTGTTTCACTGAAATCATCTTTGTTCATCCCTTTTTATTAAATTAAAATAAGCGTAAAATTTGGCTGATATTAATTAGGGGGTCAATCACATGAAACGTGTGCACACACAATGTTGAAGTACAGATCAAGGTTTATTTTCGTCTGTTTCACTCAAACGTGTGTTCTTAAGTTATCCAGTAATTTTGTCTTTTCTTTTCTCAAGTTTCATCGAGACGTCCTCCAGGGAGCCAAGACCATGGAGATAGTTGGTCTTTTCCTCTCCTTCTGTAGCCTCGTCTTCGCCCTCTTTATCTTCAGCTGTTTTAGGTATGGATGTTTGAGGCTTCCGTACTTTAATACTCTTACGTTCGTTCTTTGCGTTGCACGTTTTTGTTCTGTTATGATGTAGTGATAGATTTAACAATAATGACTGCTGTGTTGTGGGATATGATGTTTTGGACACCCGAGGGGCGCATAGCACCCGAGGCGAAGCTATGCCTCTGCCTCGGAGGTTATACCTCTGTCTTGGATTCTTTGGATTTTGACGTAAAAATCACGAAAAACAAACAGCAGTAGACACAGCAATCATGATAATCGAACGTCAACTCACATGCATGTCGCGTGCTCGAAACAGCTGATCGTCTGCTAGTTCGCTGCTCCCACTCATGTGTGAAAACATGGTGAAAATAGCGTGAGAACCAACGATACAAGCGCTTCACACCGTAGGTACCGTACGTCCAAACTCATAGCACACTCCCTGGGTGATATCACGTACGTGATATCCCACAGGGAGTGTGCCTTGACTTTTTATAGACTTAACAAGGACCGTTCTTTGCCAATGAAAATACAGTATTCAAGACAGAAGTATAACAAAACATTTGTTATGGCATTAAGGTTTTTCATTTTCAGGCTGGCGATGTAACTTTGCAGATGAAAAAGTCCTTTGTTTGTTTTTCCTTAAACTCCTTTCTAAACGAAACATGGTTATCATCTTTGATGGGGTCATTTATTTTCTCCGGATCCATCATGTCTTCAAAGTTACTTCCAAGTAGTACTATTTTGCATCAACCTACTTAGTCAAAACTGTCATCGATAGTGCAGTGGGGTCAGAGTAAATTAAGGGAATTCTACAAAACACTTCCCCCTTGAGACGTCCCGTTGGCTGTAATATTCCAGCACATCCCTTTAATTCTTTCACAAGCGAGATCTCTCTCATCAGTGACTAAGCATTAAACGGTTTGGAAGGAAAATGCAGACACGTCGTGATATGAAAAAAAATTGAAATTGATGTGTGGTCTTGGTATGCTCTTCATAAATGGCGGTGCTTTCAAATGCCGCTTTGTCTACTTTATCAGTTGCCTCGTTCGGACTGCTCGGATAATCTGGTCTGATAAATGATCAGTGCTTCTCGTAGGAATGATTGCTTTATTGGCCAAGACACTCATCCGTGGAGAGGTTTTTTTTCCAGGTTGAGCAGAGTGAGGTTGATTTGGTGTTAGCGTGGTCCGTACGATGAATGCGAGCTCGATGCATCGAAACAGGCACTCAAGAGTAAACGCAGCAACGCACGAGGCCTCGCGCGAATATTATCCGCGCAGAGAAGATCGTTTTGTAGACGAGGAATAAATTAAGTGTAATTTGAGACTGTTTTCTTAGAATGTCTGCTATGGATTTTTCTAGGACTGGGGCATTGATTTTATGACAGGATTGTAAAGGGCCCAGGGATGTGCATCTCTGGGTTGCTGGTCGAGGGTGGTTATAGGGGTCGCAACAAGGTTAAAATGAGCGATATTCCATTTCGATCGTAAGACACTTTGTCGTCATTTCCATATTTTCTCGCGTAATCAATCCCAATGTGATTAAATTTCAGTCATGTACTCCCCCCCCCCCCTCAAAAAAAATCTGACGTTAATATTACAATTAGCAAACTAGCCACAAAATTAATCTCATTAGATTACTATTTAGGGGGGGGGGGTGAAAAATGTTTCGAAAACTTGCCATTAGCTGGGATCAATAAAGTGCAAATTGTACAATTACCGCAGTAACTGATAATAAGGCCTATGGTCATTGATGGTGTTTTGTCGAAACGCTAGGCTACTTATAGAGCTGCTTGGTCATATTTACAGTCGAAGCGTACTTATTTGCACTACCTCAAGAAGCTGAGTGTGAGGTTGTCGTTACTTTATGGTTGATTTACCTCTTAGCGGGATCTTGACAGTTTTCTGACGGTTCTACATGTAAAGACCAAATGCAAGAATATACTGAGGTCACTTTTATTTATTGCCGAGGGAATCTGACAGTCGCCGACAAATTTGAGAATTAAAACGGACAGGTTCTAAATTGGTGCTTCCAAACCGTCAGAAAAACCCATGATTTTTGTACTTCGTCAATAGAGATATCTGATACATTCTGCCTGGACTTGCCGGCCGCAGTGACAGCACGCACGCAATTGGAGCCACCGGAGATACTCATTGATTTCCAGGGGTATTTTTTTCTCTCTCTTTCAATCATCAGGAGTTTGCAGTGCCACCGGACTAAGATCCACAAGCACCTGTTTGCAGCTTACATTGCCCGCCTGACGATCGAGATCATCCTGGGGGTGAACCGGTTCTACACGGTGACCCAGGCTGAAGTGGGCTATGCGGAAACCTTCATCTCAAGAACCGTAAGCAACAGAAAACAAATCTGCTGAACACAAATTATAAGCTTAACACCGTTTTATACCTGCCAAAACGGCATGTATTGAATACTAACCTCAACTGGTTCCCAGTTCATTTTCGCTCAGCGTTAACATTTTCCTACGCATATTTGTTTTAGCACCTATATATGTGAAATTGGGCCTAAAGCGCCACCAAGCGTCTGTCCGGTAGATCGTTTTCTATAATAACATACTATAAGCGAGTTCGGTATTCCAACTGCGCATGTGCACATCAAGATTTGCCGATTTTTTTCTTTTGGGATAAACATTTCATCGTATGCGTGCAAAAGCATAGCGGGGTACCAGCAACATTGAAGAGATCATCGCGTTCTGAAGTATAACATTTTGCAAAAACCTTTGGACAGTTTTTAGGTGTCTTGTGTGTCAAAACTGTTGTGCGAACGAAAGTTCCATCTCTTTTCGATTGCACGAAAAATGGCACAGAATGAAGATTTGGTTACCACGTCCCCAATAGCCTTGAGTGCATTTGTTTGCCGCGGTTATCCCGAAAAAAAATTCGTCGACTCTTGCTGTGCACCATACTATTTTGGAAGCGAACTCGCTTATTGGCCCATTTTTATTTTAGCTTATTTAATTCATTTGACCATGTTTAAAGATCGTTATATTTCTGCTGTCAATGTATTACTTTTGTTTTGAAACAGCAAAGAAAGCTTTTTCCCCCACTGTACCCAATACTCTTGTGACTGGGCCTTTCTTAATTCCACTGCACTAAATTGCACTCGTCCGACTCCCCTTCAATATAAACGCACACCGGTGAAGTTTATTGATTTCCCGGCCCAGACGAGCCGCCGGCAATGCCTCATGTTGATCACTTTAGTTTTCCGTCTCAGCAATAATGTAGCAAATGTCTCCTACCTCATGTTTGCCTCAGACAAAGCAAGACTTCTCTTTCTCTAAAAAACTCATTAATGCAGATAGATTTCTGGAATCCATTCCGATTCAAGACTTTATGAAACATAAGTGCAATCCAGGACAATGAATAAATACATTGCTTGCTTGATGCGCAGGTTAATCTCAGCTAATCTCAGCTTGACCCAGTTCTAAAGTCTAGTAATTTGATCTGATGGTTTTTTTTTTTTTTATTTGTCCTCCCACAGCTGCCGTTGTGTGTTACTCTCGAGGTCTTCCGAGAATACACGAGACTTTGCACTTTTGCCTGGATGTTCATTGAGGGCATGTACCTCAACAGTTTGCTGTCGTCAGCTGTCTTCGGCAAACCCAAATTCATTGCCTTTTACATCGTTGGCTGGGGTATGTTGATCAATAAGACCAAGTGGCGGGTTTTGGGAAACCTCCCCCCCCCAAAAAAAAAAAAATAATAATAATAATAGACTTGTTCACACATTTTTTCAAACTTCAATGTGCCCTAACACAATATTCCGTTGTCTTTTTTTCCACGAATTTCGGTATGTTTACTAATTAGACCACGAGCAACAAATATAATCTAATTACGACGGTAAAATTTTGCCTCTAAAGGGGGGCTGTGACATTAGGGAGACATGAAAATATCTCCCTAATGACCGATGTCTTCCATCGTGCGAAGAAATTACGATAACGTGTCTCCTTAATGGTACCATTGCACGAATAAATAAAATAAAAATAACAACAATAAAAAAAATGTCTATACATGTATAACGCAAATACATTGCATGGCAATCATCGTTAACCTACAAACTTGTAAAAATTTCTTTCAACATTACATTTATTAAAAATGTTTTATTGACTTATAATTAAATTTTGGCTTTTGGACTGTTATTAAATTTGGTACGTTTGTTGGTTGGTTTGTCTGTTAACAAGATAACACAAAAGTTATGGACGGATTTGCATGAAATTTGTTTTAGGAGTGGTCTTTGGTACAAGTACAAATCGATTCGATTTTGGAAGTGATCCGGATCTGGGTCTGGATCCAGGATTTTTTTTAAGGATTCTTCACCATTTATGCGAGTATTTCTTTTGGGTGTACTGACAATGTGGCGGGAATTGTTTAGCCTTGGCGGAGGTTTGCGCACTCTGAGTGCTTTCTTGTTTGTTAATGTGTTCGTGTTTTCTTTCTCCAGTAATCAGTGCACCACTGATAATCTCCTGGGCCGTTGCGATGCATTTTACTCTGGGTTCCGATAAGAAGTAAGTAAACTAAATGACTTTCTACTGAAGTTCAAATCTTTCAAAATGTCCGATCAACTTTGACCTTTGAAATTATCAACCATAGACTAGCTTAATTGTTTTGTTTATGATGTTTTCAGCTGCTGGTTTGGTAATATCAACACGGTGTACTATTGGGTGTTTATCGAGATACCACGCAACGCCTTACTCACGGTGAGTGTATTTGATATCTCGATGAGAAAACTCATTCAATTTACATGTTATACACTGCAAAAAACTGCAGTGTTAAATTTACACTATTGGTATTTATATAGGACCATCTGGTGTTAAATTTTACTGTTGTGTTGTCCTATATAGATACCAAATGGTGTTAAATTAACACTACAGTTTTTGCAGTGTAGTCACCAATCATTTAAGCAGATCATCAAGTTGCAAAAGACCTTTTATTCTGTGCTTTGCTCAGCACCCGCTATAGCTGGGTGGAATCATATACTAAGGTATTACTTTGACCTTAATTTACATGTTGACCCCAAGTGGGCGTGATAAGCTTTTGCAAAGCAATTTTGCCACATATTTCATCATCAACGTTATGTGTCGCGTAATAGCGATACGTTTTGGAGTGTTTTTACATTGTAATAATATTAAACTATTCAAAGTCTGAAAGAAACAAATTTGCCAAAAAGCAAAACAAACAAATCAAATGAATCATTTTTTTTCACGTGCCAACTGTGACTTCAGAGGACAGTGAAATCGTAGCATATGACGTGCATAGACTGGATACCTCTCCATTAAACCTTGCAATTTGTGCTTTCGCACACTCCTTTAGGTCTTTTACAAAAAAAAGATACACAGAGACATCAGACAGACAGACAGACAGACAGAACGACCGACAAACATCATACAGACATCGTAGGGTGTTCTAATTCGCTCTTTTCCCACTTTCGCCATGGGCATGCAGAGCCTCGATCAGGCAACTTTACACAATACATATAGCCAGTCTAGCGATTCCCGTGTCGGGGTTCAGATCACTGAACCGGCTATTCTTATTGTGTAAAGTTGCCAGATCGAGGCTCTGCATGCCCAATGGCGAAGCATGAAAAGAGCGAATATAGGTTATCGTTGACGAGAAAATCAACACTGTGAGAATGCACTGTGTGTATGGCGCTACTGTGCAAAAACAAGTAGCCTTGTATTACACATTGCCTAGTTTTTTTTGGATTTAGGGTCACGGAAAAAAAGTTCCCCTTTTGCTATAGGTAAGACAACACCTGTTTTCGCATTGCTGGAAATGGTATATATTTCCTTTTGTTTTTTACCAAATCGGAAGATCAGGTAGAATTCACTGAACATTAAAGCGTTTGATCTTTACCTTTTTCTAGTTAACTTAATTGGTCTTTTATCCTTTCGAAATTGCTTCCGGGAATTTAAGCCTAATAAATAAGCTTTGGGAGAAGATAATTGCACTACTTTTTCGCAATAAGATTTGGCTTTGCATTGGAAACGGCTGGCAATTTATCAGGCTTTTCAAGCGATCTACTGACACAAATACTACGGATTCAAAACAACCTGCTACTCTGACCTATAACGAAAAGGCCAGTCTGTTTTTTGAGGGGATAATTTGCATGAGAGCGTAATAATCGGCTTTTTATATCAGGAACGAGGTTTAGAGGCATGTTTGGGCTACGTTTATCCGTCGCAAAATGAAGAGGAACACTCAAGGAAATCACGATAAAAAATTGGGTTGAAAGAGTGTTCTCGGTGGGAGTAAAACAGTTTTTTTTCACCCGTTTTTTCTTAACTACACGAATACAAAGGAATGTCCACAGTAGGTATGCAAAGGCTGCGTGTGTTTTGTGACGGAACGCAATTTGTTCCCCAGTTGACTCCGTGCAGCTCTATAGATGGCGTTGTTTGGCCTAATTACTGGACACGCTAAATGATATCTCTGAACGGCTTCTTATTTTTTTTTTTACCTGAACTTGTACGTAGGCCTACCGTTATAGTGTTTTAAAGCGTGAGGAAGTTGCATTGTTTTCACACCAAGTCCTTCAATCACAATAATTGTTTCCATTGTTTTACGAGTTTAAACACTGCAGCTGTCGATTGATATGAGTGCACAACTCAAACCGACATTCACAAATTCTGAATGGTCTGGTTTGTGCCATGTTTTGAACGGCGCGTACAATTTCGCGTTTTCCTCTCCTCTGACCATCTATGATTGAACTTGAATTCAACCTGCAGCGGTGTTCTAGATTCGGTCACGACGAACAAATACTACACACTAAGAAACTAGACGCAATCCTGTACAATGTTCTAGATCATTCAAGCCCGAGGGCAATGGTACAGAACTTGTTTCTTTCGCCGTGTGTTTACTACAAAATCCGACGAGTAGCGCCATCGGGACGTTTTCCCCATAGTTTTTTTCGCTCCAAGAAGAAAACCCATTTAGACATACACGCTCTTGTTAATCCTTAGTACTGCTGAGCAACGGCCGTACCATCTTCTTTGCACGATATTCGATGGGTTTGGATGAAGGGATTTAATGGTGTGGGCGGAGAGTGATTTGACTGGGGGCGTGAATACATGCCTTGTATTAAACGATATCCTAAGGGAGGTAGCTAAACCGATATGTAAAGGTTTTTTCTTCCAATTGAAATACGCTGGTGTTTGTTAGTATTTGGCAATAATCAATAACCATACACCTTATTCGCAAAGAAGCCATTATGATCTTGTTCCCTGTATGAATTGTATATATTGTAAACTGTTGAATGGGATGGTGCCAGACTATATATGCATTCCGAGCCTCACTTTCATTTTATTTAAATGTGGCTTAAAACATCCGGGAATGTTTAATCACATATTTTAGATTATTCATCAGAGCAGACTATTAATTTGTAATTAACTTCTTGTCATTGCTTTCATTTCTACTCGCAAGTTCCAAAAATGAAGAATTAACCTCGTTTTGAAATTAATATGGCCGACTCGTGAATACAGCCTTTTGGCTGTGGTTGTGCTTGTAGTGTGCAGAATGGTAGACTTTCTTCAAGTCCTCACATTGACGAAACTGAGGTGTATTTGGTACGCGCACTTTCATCCTTCCCCTTTCGATAACCCGTTCTACTGATTCAGATTATGGACTGAACACATCTCATTGAATTTTAATAAAGACATCGGTGAAGTAACTTCCCCAACTTTAGTTTTACATTTCACTTGTAACAGACAAAAAGTTTCAAAATTGGTATACAATACAACCATTATTTGATGAATTCGACTGCATGTCGTCACTTTACAGGCATGAGGCAGTTAAAGCTACAGTTCATCAGAACGTGTCTCGGACGCTGAACTCAGGCCCAATTATTCAAAACATGATTCGGCAACTTTTAGTTTGAAATCGAGATCCTAGAATGCTTTTTTTTATCGGAATGTACAGCTGAAGCTGAGCTGAAAGTTCATCAGGTTACTTGTTCTGCACCCTTCTTTAGATTTGGAGCACGTTTGTTGCTTCAAACGAACAAAATGCACAAATTACACATGATGAACTTTATCTTTAAGGGGATGTCACTTTATATCGAACAGACAAATTCAGTAGGCCTTTTTACGGAATAATGACCAGTCCTCCAGGAAAGTGTGTCAATATCTCCAATTTATTCTATAATTGAAAGCAGGTTGCTGCGTGCCAATGATATCGGATACATAGTGGTGCAGAGTTTCTGCCCCTTTTATTAAGAATGGTAGACCTGTATTAGCGGACGAGCCTAATTTCCTGTGCCGCCAGGTCGTAACACCTGCTAGATGTATCAGACTTTATCCCAAATGTACCATCAATGCAAAAATTTCCTTATTGCTGAAGCGTACACGTTTTCTCAACACCAATTTACTTAATTTGTTTTCATCAGCGATGCTGATGAATTTGGACAAATTTACGGTTGCTCTTGGTACTTTAAAACCCCGCTTTAAGTGGGGTTAGCCTTGTTACGAGCCGTTACTAATTCATTCCGTCAAGCTGGCCTTTTTGGTGTCAGCGGTGGCCTTTCAAATTCGTCCATTGCCCTGATGTCAGCCATTGAATCCATTAGCTAGGGCACAACACTTCAAACCGCAGGATTTCTCAAATTCAAAATATACCCACTTTTTACCCCCAAAAAAGAAGTCTGTATACGAGATAGTACTTTCTTCTGGCATGTTGTTAGACGCGAAGAAAAGCAGGTTTGAAGATAAACAAGTGATTTCAACGGTATTTTTTTAGTTTTTTTTAATCTCTTCGCAGCAAAATTACGGAGCTTAGGAAGTGCCATCAGACTTGTTGAGATCCTGACATATGTTATCTCAGGATAACGACATATAACACTCAGGCAAGATGACGACATCCTGAAAGTAGGATGGCGGCATCCTGAGATGATTCATCACAGGATGACGGCATCCTAAGACTAGGATGACGACATCCTGAGATACTTCATCTCAGAATGCATTTTGAAGAAGGATGTCGTCGTCCCACTTGCAGGATGTCGTCATCCCATGATATATTATCCCAGGAAGTCGTCATATTGTCTGTAAAATGTCGTCATCCAGAGTTAAAATATCTCAGGATCTCAACAAGTCGGTTGGCACTTTCTAGAGCTCCGTAGAAAATGACTTAACAACTCATTTGGTTCGCCACTGCACCTGTGAAGCCTTTACTCGGCCAACACCCCACTGGAATCTGCCCTTCCATGTGCAAAGTGGCTCTCTCCTACCTCGTCAAAACAAACCGTGTCCAACCCTGCTTCCCTGCACCCGAAGGCGCGGAATCCGCGCGCGGTTCTTGGTTTGAAATCAGTTTCCAAAGGTGACCCGGCAACGCTAGCCGTTTTCTCATCAAAGCCTCTGATATGATGTTTCTTTTTAATGCACCCCAAGATGGCAATCCCACATCTCGGTCATCCAGACCCGCGGGGGGTGTAGGCCTAATTATTGTCCCCGGTGATTGTCGTTGGAACTCAGCGGCGCCGCATGCCTTTAACTGCCCGGGTTTATGCGGCCTCCGTGTCGGCTGGAAGCACAAATGAACGTGCGCTGCTAACTTCGTTTCCATATTCCACAAAATGTCCATGGGCGTGTATGCGTTACTCGGGCTAATTAGTGCGAATTCCCCTGTATTTGTTTTCATCACCGGGCCGAGTTCAACTGCATATCCTTGGGAATCCTTTTCCTTTGATAAAATTACAGCTGAGTCACGCTCAGATCGTCACAAATCGATGATGGCTAACTCCATAATAAATATACACAAACAGAGCTGAGATAGGTCGCTGTCTGCAAAGACACATCCAATCTCTATTTAACCACGAGTTCTACTCTGATGTGTGGGAATTGTGGCCTAGCGGTTAGGGTTCGTGACTCATGATCAGAGGGTCAGGGGTTCGAATCCAGCTGCTGACCATACGTTGCGTCCTTGGGCAAGCCATTTCACCCCAACTTGCCTCTCTCCACCCAGAAGTTAACGGGTACCTGCATGAGCTGGGGGGTAACCTGCGATGGACTAGCATCCCATCCATGAGGAATAGAAATATTCTCAATCGTTTTATACCACTGACATCGGAGACAAACGCCGGCCTGATGGGCCATATTGGCTCGGGACAGACTTTACTTACTGTTCTATACTCTGATGTACATTGGAAAAGAACGAGTGTTATTACTGCAATCTCTCGGAATAAGGTGTTGCAAAATTTTGATTTGATTTTTTTTTTATTAGCCGCTATTATCCAATTGGAAAGCTGCGTGCCAAGACCTTGTTGTTCTTGTACCAGCCTAGCCTAACCAACGTCGATTTTGCAATCGATCAAACTATACTCTTTGCGCTCATCATGACGAGTTGTAATGTTTTATTTAAACGATGAACAAAATCCCAAGGACTAGCTAAAAACTTGAACTTAAACACTTAAAAAGGTTTGCAGTGCTGGAACCTGTGATGCATCTCATAATAACATGAATGTGTGTAAATCGAACAAACCAGACTCATTCGCCATTCCAGCCCGGGAAATCAAAACTACCCTTCCGAAATGCCATCTAAAATGAGATGGAGACTGCGGTAAATGAAAACGACTAGCCGGCTGTAGAGACGAATTCCCCAGGCGGGCGAACCGAAGCAATAAGACGGCATAATATCAGCTTGACCCGATCGCTCGAATCAGTTGCTGTCCCTACGGACCCAGTTAAGAGAGGCGGTGTGGGCCCGTACAAAGCTTGTTGAGGTTCTGATGAGAGCCTCAAGCACCGCGAAGTTCGATCGGTGGGGACTCGGGGGACTTGGCGGGGTGAATCGATCATGCCCCCCCCCCTCCCCTCCCGTACACGAGGACGTGCAAGGACGGTTCAAAGATTGGCGCGGTCTGCCGCTTGACATAAAGCAATTATTAAAGCAAACTGGAAATTCGAATCAGTCATGACCTGCATATTAAAAAATTAATCGCTTTGAAATTCCGTTTACTGTTTTATAAAATCTTCTTACAGGCTACTCAGGAAAAAAAGGCATCGGTGTCATTATACATCTCTTGCCAATTTAGTTGTTAGTCACCTCTTATACTGTCAAAACATTGGTTCATGATGCAGACAAAAATCCGAAAACAAACCAAAAAAACAAACTGAACAAAACCGAGCAAACGACGACACTCATATCTTTTGTCCATATATTTTGTAACCGGAGACAGTGGACTGTCTTGCTGGCAACCTTCTCAAACCTAATTTGTTATCATTTGTCATCATTTCAGTTGTAAAATAAAGAGTGCAAGAAGATCTCCAATTAAGTGACCAACAAATCCCAACCTGCAGCATTTGTCAGGTTCAGTTTGTCACAATTATTTTTGTGCCTGCGATCTGTCAGGCTGTTTCATCCTGAGATGGAACCCAATCCACCTGTTCTTTTTTAGACGTCGATTTAGGCCGCCAGGGGAGGAATTTGATGTCCCTTTTTGTTTTGTATCGCAGATGAATTTGTTGTTCCTCATCAATATACTGAGAGTCTTGGTTACTAAGCTGAGGGAGAGTAACACGAGCGAGACGAAGCAAGTCAGGTGAGTTTGGCTTGTTGGCTGGCTGGCAGGCTGGCTGGCAGGCTGGCTGGTGGGCTGGGGGGCTTGCGGGATGATTGGCCGGTTGGCCGGCTTGTGTGTACTGGCGGGCAGCTCGCAGGCGGGTTGGCTGGCGGACTTACTGGCCGACTGACTGGCCGGTGACTTGATTGAATGCTTGCTTGCGGGATGCCATGCTGGCGGGCTGGCTGGCTGGCTGGCTTCCGGGCTGGCTGGCAGGTGGGCTGGCTGGCGGGCGGGGTGGCTGGCGGGCGGAGTGGCTGGCTGGCGGGCTGGCTGTCTGACTGATTGACTGATTGACTGGCGGACGTGCTGGCGGACTTAACTGGCCGACTGACTGGCCGGTGACTTGATGGAATGCTTGCTTGCGGGGTGCTAGACTGGTAGGCTTGGTGGCAAATAACCAAAATAATAATTTTGGTTATTTGAATATGTCCACCGTGAAGTATAAAGCTGGTTGTTTGTGGGTGTTTACCGTCTACCAATCCTAATTTATTTTAGAGAGGAAATCTTTTCTTTCTATCGTTTCTGAAATCTAGCCACAATTTTGTTTTATACATAATTAATTATTCAATTCCCCAGGAAAGCCATCAAAGCCACCTTTGTGCTCCTCCCACTTCTGGGCGTGGCTAACCTAGTCTGGCTAATCCCTGAACCCGGAACCTTGGACAGTCCCGGCTGGATAGTCGTCTATAACTACGGTCTATTGTTCCTGGATGCCTACCAGGGATTCTTTGTGGCCGTTCTGTATTGCTTCATGAATGCTGAGGTATGTTGGTCACCAGCGCAATTTAAAACAGTCATGAATATCGTCACTGCTGAAGGCGCCATTTTATGACGATTTCAACATTTTTAATAGCTCCAAATTTGATACAAATTTGATGTAACGATTAAAATACGACCCTCTTTGCTGACGTCACCACGTTATTTTTACGCAGGTGCGCAGTGTGCTACGGCGCAAGTATTCAACATGGCGGACCTACCACAACCCCAATCGAGGACATAACATGGTAGTTACCACGGCTACGGACGTATGTACGACAGAGCATGCTCAGTTCTCTTAACCCAAGTTAGCTAAATTTTCTTCCTCTACATTGGTGCATGCTCCTTTGTGTCATGTCACATGAGCCCCACGTGTCCTCCCCGAACGCCAAACTAGTTTAGAAGAATTAGTTCATTCTTTTCTTAAGACCTGCGGATAGTTTTTTTTTTTAGAGTTCACTTCATTGGATTAATTTGTAATGCCAATTGCTCCCTGCTATCATTTGAAGTCGTATGAAGTTAAAAAAATCCTACGAGAGAGCATTAGTGACTATTATTAAGTTTGGCATTTTCGTCCAAATCAGTGCCCTCACACACTACGACTGTTTTGTGCCTAGATAATCTTTATTAAGTAAAACGTCACTTATTATACGACCTCTTCCTTTTTCTCCGATGTTGTTTTTCTTCAACAATCGCCAAATGGAACAATCATAGATGTTTTTGGAGTATGGATAGATGCTTATTAAGGCGCGGATCCGGGGGGGGGGGGGTTAACCCCCTCAGCTCTGTCAAAAATTGTTTTTTTTTGCCCAATAGAAATTTGCGTAAAAAAATAATGCTTACTTTCCCCCTATTGCTCTGACACCCGAAACAATTGTAGTAGTATTAATAAACGCCTGAGCCCAAAATACGGACAGAGCCTGGAGAGTTACGGGGTATTTGTTCACTATCTTGTAATATAGTGTTAATAATCGTTGGTTTTCAACAGCACCCCCGTTGAAAGTATGGTACGACCCCCCCCCCCCCCCAATTGATTTTGCGGAGCCAAGTCTACGGACACAAATACCTGTCTACATTTCAGCATTGATTTGCTGATGAAACTCCCCCCCCCTGCCAAAATTCCTGGATCCACCCCTGTTATCTCATAGATTAGAAACACGTCAAAATAATGTAGGCCTATCTATGATTTCAAGGCATGATAGGAAATGAATCCGTCCTTACAAATAGAACCGCAGTAACTCAACAGCCATAAAAAGCCCCATTAAGGATACACGTGCAAAAAAATCAACCGAATGGCAAATCCCCATCCTACAATTCGGGCGTTTCAATGTGCAGTATGTTGGCCATCGAGAGTTTGCCACGGAGAGTTCACTTTTGGCCGACAAATTCGCAGCGCGGGCTATTTGAAATTGTTAGTTTTTCCGGTCAGTAGTTTCTTAGTATGATTCGAGTAAATGTTTGCCCTTTTCTTTTCTTTTTATCAATATGGTGTTTTTGTAAGAAGGCAGAACGGTAGGACCCAAACCTTAAAAAATTTGCTCAAATTGTACTCACTCAAATGGGCCGTGTAAACTTGACAAGTGGACTCTCCGTGGTAAACTCTTGGTGGCGCACCGTGAAACGCCCGAATTGCTCCTGCATATTCCAACAGTCTCAATATTTTGGTATCCCTAGCTAGCTAGCTACCCCTCCCAGCCCCTCCTCATTCATTTACCCTTAATCTCAATCATTGCCATTCCCCCATTGCGTTCATTGTAGACAAAGGTCTTGAGTTTTGGGGTGAGAGAAATGTCCGACCGACAGGCTATGGAATTAACAACTCTTTTATGCTCTTCTTTTTCGGCGGTTGTCAAAAGAAACTTTCCATTTTTAAAACCTCTACAGATGTAAATTCATCGGCTGCAAACAGATAAAACGTCCAGTGCACTCACACAAAATCGAACAAGGTAAAACTATGCACAAGCAAGTGTCGAACCAAAGTATATCCATTTTGTGCACAGACTGTCGACAGCCTTTTCAAAGTGTCGAGCATGCCTACCACTTCGGAGCAAGCATGCGCACTTTTTTGTTTTACACATTTTGTTTCGATTTTGTGCACTTTTCCACCAAAACTCTTCACACCAGTGTACTCTTGTCAGCCGGCACCTTTCTTTGTTTTTTTCTCTCCACTGCTCTTTCGTGAATCATTGTTCGTTTTCCTTTTTTCTTCCAGATCCGCTTAACAGTTATGGATGATGGGCATTGCCAGTCAGAAACGTGACTCGGAAGCAACACATCAAATGGCCGTCTGTAAAGTTCTGTCTCCCAACGCGTCATGTGATTATTTTGCAGTCTAATCTGATGTAGCTCTAGCGATGACGAGTATTTTATATTTCAACATTTTTGTAGAACTATATCTTCAGGTGTTGTAGTGTAAATAGTGTATTTAAATTCCTCAATTTGTAATAAATGTATGCAGATTTTGAAAGTCGATGGAATGGTTGAGATTAGCTTGCACATTGTTGTGACGAATGTTACCGACCCGTATTGAGGCGCTATAGTTGCGTTCTCACGCTTTCGGTGATTAGGAACGTGATCTTAATATTACAAATATATAAATAAATAACGAGATAACTAAATAAATATAGGATACCATTTTGTAACACTTTAATCGTCGTGTCTCATTCGATACTTTTTAGAATGGAGACTAAACTTTAAACGATAAATAGCACGACTTACGTTAAGACGGATTTTACATATGTAGTGAAAAAAAACCAAATTCTTTTGGTTTGTTTCAATAAACACTTCGGTTTGTAGCACGTGTACATTTCCGACAGATTTTCTATTCGTAGAAATAATGCGTGTAAACTATCCTTATTACAAGGGACACGAAATTCAATGAAAGCTTTAACTGAATGTCGGGATTGATGACAAAAACAATATATTTGGTTGTACTTTAGTTGATAGGTTTCAACATAATGTAAAATATTTATAGAGATTTTTTGGAAAATTTTATTTAGTGAAGAAAAGATGTACAAAAAAATGATAACACATTGTCGATATTTTCCATCAAAGTATGGATAGATATAGATGGATGTTCAGCATCTAAATATAAATGGGGAGTTGAAAACAAAATCCAACTGCTCGGTGTAGAGCTAGAAAATTTTTACAGGGAAGGTGCAAACCAGTTGTATGGATGGCATCCGATGAATAGCTCAATTTATTAAGGTCGAAGTTGTGAGGGGGCGGGGTCATAGCAAGTGACCCCGCCTTTGATACGTCATTGGCTGTTGGTTGGAGGTAGTTGACGTATGTATAATAATTATGCTAATCTTTGAATCCTGTTTTATTGCCAGTGTTATAGGCAGTCGACTGTGACTTTTGTAATGCTGCTCGTCAGAGTGTAAATATGTAAATTATTTCCTTGTGTATGACTTTGTTTCAACAATAATACCATGTGTCTTAACCTATAACAAAATACCTACCCAATTAAGTTAAGATAAAACACTGACAATTCGTGAATGCAGGTTAAAAAAAGGGCATGTTACGTCAACCAAAAGAAAGGGGCGGACACACGCCTCCATGACCGATGTCGTCCGTCCCTGCTTTGTCCGCCCATTTCAGAATAAATATGAATATTAATGAGTGTATTGTTCACTGACATTGTTCAGTGGCGTAGCATGGTCGTTTTGATAAGTGAAAAAAGGCCGCTCGTGTTAAAAATGGACACTCGTAAAAAACAGGCATTCGGGAAAAAAATGGCACTGTTAAAAATATATTAAACATATAAGGGGTGTCTGTGTGGGGGGGGGGATACCTTTTTAGACTATAAAGACTATAAAGAGTTGAGAATCCTGCTTGACATGTCTAATTAGGAACATGTTCCACTGGATGGCCCGGGGATATCAAATGTGTAAGGCTGTAGCAACGACTAGTTAACTCTTGGGTAAATGTCTGACTAGTTTAGGAGTAATCATCAATTAAATAAGAACAAAAAAAACACGCTTAGCCTACAATTTTCAGACCAGGATTTGAATATTGTATTGATGGCCTCTGTCTTTGTTTGATTTCGAATTGCTATAGTGAATATGAAGGGATTCCATTGTATAACTTGTAAAAGATCTAAAGGTAATTTTTGGATTCGTTTTAGCTCCAAAATTGTTTTTATTACTTTGTGGATTTTCCTTCCTGAGTTTGTGAATTTTCCAGAGTTAAACATAAGCTGACAAGTATGGGCGTACCCCCCATTTTTGACCGGGGATGGGCCATTGGGATCAGGACCCGCCACCCACATTTTTGTATTGAGAAATTTAAAAGGATCGACTTTAACGTTATTTCCTCACCTTCATGAGCCCGTTTTTGGTTTAGTATAGCACTGACAACTGGAGAACAAACAGTGGAAAAGCTTTTAATGTACCGTTTTGATGTAAGTTTCAATGCATTAAGCTCTCAATTTTGCCTTAGATGTACATTTGTTTCATGAACAGCGCCACCCTGTGTCGTATACTATCAAAACCGCCACCCAGGCGTTTTCCTAATTTTGATGACCGCTGGGAAATGTTAGGATTTTGCTCATCGCCCGCCCCACCCCCTCACTCTCCGACGCGGAGTTACTCCCCCTCTCACAAAAAAAATTAAAGGTAGACAGAAAATGCCACGATATGTGTATGAATGTATTTACAACGAATATTTCATGTTGGCTTGGGCGTGTGCAAACAATTCTACGTCTTCTGTAGAATTTTTATTTTCTCTATTTAAGTGATTTTTATCGGGCTTAACTCTCGACTTTTGTGGAGTAAAAGATAAAAACATGGATGCTTGTCTCCCTCAGTTTAATAATTATGTTTTAAACTTAAAATAATCTGCAGGTTTATTGAACAGCGTATGAATGTAGAATTTAATGTACATGTAAATAAAAAATAACATAAAATGTATACCAGGGCGAAATAGGTTATGGTCTCACATCTCTTTTTCTTGATTTGTAGTTGAAATGGTATCTTACAAAATAAAAAAAATCTGTAAGGCTTACCCCATGTTTTTTTTCCCAATTGTGATTACAAAAAAATGAATTCCCTGAAAGTTGCTAGGAAGATGCCTACAACACATTCCAACTCCACGAAAATATGAATTTATTTCCTATCAAATCGATAGTTTTTGCCCAAATCTTCAAAATATTGGATGTTTGAGTATTGATTGCTGCTCCTCTGACTTCCAAAAGAAGTTCTACATTTTTTGGAGAAAAGTCAATTTTTGGCCAACTTTTGATAAAAATGTAAGGCTAACCCCTTGTATTTTTTTTCAATTTTGACCAAAAAATGAAATTCCTTCAAACTTGCTAGAAAGATGCCTGAGACACCCTAGAACACATTCCAACTCCATTTGTACAAAGATTTGCTTTTCGAAAGAAAATATGGACCAAAATATGGGAGAAAACAGTCAAAAATGTTAATTTATTTCTCACAAAATCGATGGTATTTGCCCAAATCTTTAAAGTAATGGGTGTTTGAGTATTGATTGGTGCTCCTCTGACTTCTAAAGGAAGTTCTGTATTGTTTTGAGAAAAGTCAATTTTTGGCAAAATTTTGATAAAAATGTAAGACCCTTGCATTTTTTTCAATTTTGACCAAAAAATGAAATTCCTTCAAACTTGCTAGAAAGAAGCCTGAGACACCCTAGAACACATTCCAACTCCATTTGTAGAAAGATTTGCTTTTCAAAAAAAAATATGGACCAAAATATGGGAGAAAACAGTCAAAAATGTTAATTTATTTCTCACAAAATCGATGGTATTTGCCGAAATCTTTAAAATATTGGGTGTTTGAGTATTGATTGGTGCTCCTCTGACTTCTAAAGGAAGTTCTGTATTGTTTTGAGAAAAGTCAATTTTTGGCCAAATTTTGATCAAAATGTAAGGCTCACCCCTTGCATTTTTTTCAATTTTGACCAAAAAATGAAATTCCTTGAAACTTGCTAGAATGATGCCAAAGACACCATAGAACACATTCCAACTCCACTGTTTGTGGAAAGATTTGCTTTTCAAAAGAAAATATGGACCAAAATATGGGAGAAAACAGTTAAAATGTTAATTTATTCCTCACAAAATCGATGGTATTTGCCCAAATCTTTAAAATAATGGGTGTTTGAGTATTGATTGGTGCTCCTCTGACTTCTAAAGGAAGTTCTGCATTGTTTTGAGAAAAGAGAATTTTTGGCCAAATTTTGATAAAAATGTAAGGCTAACCCCTTACATTTTTGTCAATTTTGACCAAAAAATGAAATTCCTTGATACTTGCTAGAAAGATGCCTAAGGGACCCTAGAACACATTCCAACTCAATTTGTGGAAAGATTTGCTTTTTAAAAGAAAATATTGACCAAAATATGGGGTAAAATCAGTCAAAAACTTTAATTTATTTCTCATAAAAATTAAGGTTTTTGCCCAAATCTTTAAAATATTGGGTGTTTGAGTATTGATTGGTGCTCCTCTGACTTCTAAAGAAAGTTCTGTATTGTTTTGAGAAAAGTCAATTTTTGGCCAAATTTTGATAAAAATGTAAGGCTAACCCCTTACATTTTTTTCAATTTTGACCAAAAAATGAAATTCCTTGAAACTTGCTAGAAAGATGCCTAAGGGACCCTAGAACACATTCCAACTCAATTTGTGGAAAGATTTGCTTTTTTAAGAAAATATGGACCAAAATATGGGGTAAAATCAGTCAAAAACTTTAATTTATTTCTCATAAAAATTAAGGTTTTTGCCCAAATCTTTAAAATATTGGGTGTTTGAGTATTCATTGGTGCTCCTCTGACTTCTAAAGAAAGTTCTGTATTGTTTTGAGAAAAGAGAATTTTTGGCCAAATTTTGATAAAAATGTAAGGCTAACCCCTTACATTTTTGTCAATTTTGACCAAAAAATGAAATTCCTTCAAACTTGCTAGAAAGATGCCTAAGGGACCCTAGAACACATTCCAACTCAATTTGTGGAAAGATTTGCTTTTTAAAAGAAAATATGGACCAAAATATGGGGTAAAATCAGTCAAAAACTTTAATTTATTTCTCATAAAAATTAAGGTTTTTGCCCAAATCTTTAAAATATTGGGTGTTTGAGTATTGATTGGTGCTCCTCTGACTTCTAAAGGAAGTTCTGCATTGTTTTGAGAAAAGAGAATTTTTGGCCAAATTTTGATAAAAATGTAAGGCTAACCCCTTACATTTTTTTTAATTTTGACCAAAAAATGAAATTCCTTGAAACTTGCTAGAAAGATGCCTAAGGGACACTAGAACACATTCCAATTCAATTTGTGGAAAGATTTGCTTTTTAAAAGAAAATATTGACCAAAATATGGGGTAAAATCAGTCAAAAACTTTAATTTATTTCTCATAAAAATTAAGGTTTTTGCCCAAATCTTTAAAATAATGGGTGTTTGAGTATTGATTGGTGCTCCTCTGACTTCTGAAGGAAGTTCTGCATTGTTTTGAGAAAAGAGAATTTTTGGCCAAATTTTGATAAAAATGTAAGGCTAACCCCTTACATTTTTGTCAATTTTGACCAAAAAATGAAATTCCTTGATACTTGCTAGAAAGATGCCTAAGGGACCCTAGAACACATTCCAACTCAATTTGTGGAAAGATTTGCTTTTTAAAAGAAAATATTGACCAAAATATGGGGTAAAATCAGTCAAAAACTTTAATTTATTTCTCATAAAAATTAAGGTTTTTGCCCAAATCTTTAAAATATTGGGTGTTTGAGTATTGATTGGTGCTCCTCTGACTTCTAAAGAAAGTTCTGTATTGTTTTGAGAAAAGTCAATTTTTGGCCAAATTTTGATAAAAATGTAAGGCTAACCCCTTACATTTTTTTCAATTTTGACCAAAAAATGAAATTCCTTGAAACTTGCTAGAAAGATGCCTAAGGGACCCTAGAACACATTCCAACTCAATTTGTGGAAAGATTTGCTTTTTAAAGAAAATATGGACCAAAATATGGGGTAAAATCAGTCAAAAACTTTAATTTATTTCTCATAAAAATTAAGGTTTTTGCCCAAATCTTTAAAATATTGGGTGTTTGAGTATTCATTGGTGCTCCTCTGACTTCTAAAGAAAGTTCTGTATTGTTTTGAGAAAAGAGAATTTTTGGCCAAATTTTGATAAAAATGTAAGGCTAACCCCTTACATTTTTGTCAATTTTGACCAAAAAAGGAAATTCCTTCAAACTTGCTAGAAAGATGCCTAAGGGACCCTAGAACACATTCCAACTCAATTTGTGGAAAGATTTGCTTTTTAAAAGAAAATATGGACCAAAATATGGGGTAAAATCAGTCAAAAACTTTAATTTATTTCTCATAAAAATTAAGGTTTTTGCCCAAATCTTTAAAATATTGGGTGTTTGAGTATTGATTGGTGCTCCTCTGACTTCTAAAGAAAGTTCTGTATTGTTTTGAGAAAAGTCAATTTTTGGCCAAATTTTGATAAAAATGTAAGGCTAACCCCTTACATTTTTTTCAATTTTGACCAAAAAATGAAATTCCTTGAAACTTGCTAGAAAGATGCCTAAGGGACCCTAGAACACATTCCAACTCAATTTGTGGAAAGATTAGCTTTTTAAAGAAAATATGGACCAAAATATGGGGTAAAATCAGTCAAAAACTTTAATTTATTTCTCATAAAAATTAAGGTTTTTGCCCAAATCTTTAAAATATTGGGTGTTTTTTAAATTATTCATTGGTGCTCCTCTGACTTCTAAAGAAAGTTCTGTATTGTTTTGAGAAAAGTCAATTTTTGGCCAAATTTTGATAAAAATGTAAGGCTAACCCCTTACATTTTTTTCAATTTTGACCAAAAAATGAAATTCCTTGAAACTTGCTAGAAAGATGCCTAAGGGACCCTAGAACACATTCCAACTCAATTTGTGGAAAGATTTGCTTTTTAAAAGAAAATATGGACCAAAATATGGGGTAAAATCAGTCAAAAACTTTAATTTATTTCTCATAAAAATTAAGGT